CAACACCGCATTGTCGAAAATATTTTAGTTGGCTAGAGAATGTCCGAATATGCCCTCCATTAAATTTTCAAAGTGATCCGTTGTCTGGTTCACCAGAAACGTCTAATGTGCCATCCACCGTGAATCAGCCTGTATATGAAGAAAACGGTTCCCTGCAAAAAATATACCTATTAATTTACGTCTTGACTGGAGTCATCCTCAGCTGGGGGGGGGGGCACTAGTACTACTAGTGTCAGCTCAAAATTATTCTCATACTTATCTGAGGTGTGTAAAATGGTATTGCGCTCGTTATTGCACGTGTAACACCTCTTGTTACAACATTCACTGGAAACATGTCCTATATTTAGACAGTTCACACGTACGCATTTTGACTGGAAATACTAATAATTGGAATTGGAGCATTTATCTTTAGGGCAACAGCCCGAGCAATTGATGAACTAGCTTCAGTTTTCGACACTGAACGAGGTGATCTCAACTCTGTCACAGAGTTGAAACCCGTTCCGCAAAAGGCTCATATAAAAGCCGCAGGTCGAGTGGGCTGAAGTCGGAAACTGAGGGNCTAAGTTTCTTAACTTTTAACCAGCCTGATTCTTGCACAACTGAGGATATATGGTTTTATTTCCGGAGACCAAACGAATACGCTGTAGCCGAAGAGCATGAATTTTATCTTAAAGCAGGTACATAAATACTGCCGCAATAAGAAATGTTTGACATGATCAGTGACTCGCATAGTCTAACTTTCAATTCTAATTCAATTTCGTTAATAGTCCATACACCAATAATGTGTCCCACGTATCAACCGGGTACCCCAGACTTTTAGGAGATCGAAAATGAGAAATTTTTGGTCAACGCTAAATGTTTATAAATATTTTTGACATGGCTGCATTGACTTTCATAACGCCCTTTCATCAAATTCCTAGCCGTTACATAATTCGCTTCACTTATGTATATCAAAACAGCCTGTTTTTTATTTTCACTGTATTTCATTATTCTTAATTAATGATTACTATGTATAGTGCCATATGACTTGTAGAAACATGTGTGATTTATGAATAAAGTAAATATTCATATACATACCTATATAAGGAATATTTTTCAAGGGGTTCTAATGGATTGTATTCGTTTTGAAATAAAATTAATCTATCGTAGTATTTTGACCGGACAATCAATTACTCAATAACACAATATTCAAATATTTTCAGACTGTATGGAGAAATTGAATGAGATTCTGAAGGTTTCGGGAAATACATTTAATGTGTCGGCAAATATTTGCTCTGATAATGTCGAAGAAAATTATGGCATTTGTTTTGGAGATTCTGGTGGCCCACTTGTGTATGAAAATAAGCTTGTTGGTATTTCTTCCTGGGGTATTCTGCCATGTGCATCAAAAAAAGCACCATCTGTATACACCAAGGTTAGCTACTATAGCGATTGGATCAAAAACCATATAGCGTCGCTCAACTGAGATATATACATACTCGTATATCATCACATATTAATTACATTTATATTTCAGAAAATTTTCTTTCATTTCCTGACAATCCAAATTCATCCCATTCGTCATTACATAACGGATATTCTATAATTAATAGAACACTAACCGTTGACTCGACCAATTAGTTATACCGTCAGCCAAATTCGCGGATAACATTATAATATCTCTGTTGATTTACGACGCGTCGAATTTCGTCGCACAATTCAACTAAAATCGATTTGTGTAGGTAGGTTCAAAATGAGTGGACCTATTCGTTAGTGAAAGACCTGCCCTGAAAAAAATTTTATGGATTAAGAACATGGAGAAACATATTGAATTAAAACAATTCCAATTTCAGTCATTTTTTTTTCATAATTATGTTTTTTTTTGTCAATAATGTTTCGACTACCGAAATACTGGAGTAATATTACACAAATACAAAACACATTTTTACCGGTATTTATAGGCATAAAAACTCAATGGTAATGGAAAACAGTCATATGGAAATATTAAAATGTATTTATTCTAAAAGGATACGAATTATCAATCATTACAAGAATGGAATATGTGTAAAAATGCAATCAAAAATATAGAATAAATATAATGAAAAGTGAATTGAAAATTTCTATGTTTTTTACCACTTTTATTTGTAACTAACGTTACTGCAGTTTCGTCCTATATTCTCAAACTTATACAATTAACTGAATTTATTGTATAAGTTTGAGAATGTCCATATAGGACGAAACTGCAGTAACGTTGGTTACAAATAAAAGTGGTAAAAAACAGAAATTTTCATTTCTCTTTTCATTATGATCTCCTACCACGTAGTAACGGCTACATCCATCAATTTATTAGAATATAGTTTAAAAAACTATATAACACGCTTTTCTTTTAAAGAACATCGAACTAAAAAGTTAAAAATGTTTTCTCAAATAAGCTTAAAACAATAACGAACAAAATGAAGAAACACATATAAAGTGAGTTCGAATTATATCAAGGAGGTTGCGTACAGCGCCATCTGCGCGCGAATAGATCAAGCAGTAATGTCGATAATTCTGTCAAATACAGATCCCGACATGAAATGAAAAGGAGAGTTACAAACAAACATACATACAGGTGAAGCTAATATAAAGCGTGTAATAAAAACAGAAAAAAACATTCAAAAACAAAACACAGGTACATATTAGGTTAGGTTGAAAAAAAAACATGCAAACTGGTCAGATTTTATGGTTTGAAGAAAAAATAATGGGTTTGAATCGGTTCGTTGGAAAACTTTCAATTTTAGGTTGAGTCTCAATTGGACAACGATTTCTGTAACTCTGTCACCTTTCTTTGCTGTCAGTGAAGATGATCACAGTTATTTCAATTATTTTTTTTCGAAGAGCTCTTGTGAGTCCCAAAAACTTTGCTGCTCCAGTAGAAAAAACTACCAAGCACCCAACATCTGGTCAGAGCTTTCAACTCATAGTTGACGAACAGCAATCGATTCCGGAATGGTTTGTCAAAGTGTGGACCGTTCTCTACTCTACGCAGTGACAGTTGGGGAATCAAAAATCCAGTATTCAGATGGTTCAATGATTGGAAAGTAGATGGATGAAAGAGATGTTGCCTACATATCCACATAATTTGAGTCATAACTGTACCTCTAAAAGTATCTCTATACACCATGGCCTGAAAAGTAAAACTTTTGACCCATATTGAAAAACCCAATTTGACATCAACAAGACTTTGGCAGGTAATGTATTGAAGTATCATACAATTTGTTACATTATCAGAAACCTGATGAAACTTTTATTATTGAGACTATTTTTATTTAAAAACCAACATTAGCTTCCTTATTGACATTGATGATCACTTGAACATAAAATATTCTGTTCATGAATCATATCATATAATAAAAGTGGTTCTACTACGTAGTAACGGCTACATCCATCAATTTATCATGTTTTTGTGTTGTTCAATTGCAATGTGGAATACATGTTCAAAAAAAACATGATTCATGAACAGAATGTATCAAATCCAGGGATCAGCATTGAAGAGAAAACTACTTCAGTGCATAGTATTAAGTTATTCAATTTAATGTGATAAAAAGTCTTTGGTAGATATTCTACTAACAATGGAGTTCAGTAAAGAAATAACATTATATTCCTTGGAGTTCACTTTATAAACTTTTCTTATTAAAGAAATATCACAATAATCACTTAAACATGCTATAGGAATTTCCTCCCCGGAAATATGATGATGAATTTTAGAGTCATTGGATACATCTGCATATTCATTGACAGTAACAACCAGTAATTCTTTATCACTTTCACTGCTGCCAAACGTTTGCAAACTATTGGATATATTTTTTGAAATGGATAGATTGAATAGAATCTCAGTATACACTGATTTGGTGGTTAATTTTTCACTTGTAAGTGCCTTATTTGCTGCCACAATAATTTGAAATGGATCACATATTAAGGAAGGTTTTACTAAAGAACATGTTAGTTCTCCTTTTAATAATTTCTCTTTCAACTGCTTCATGTTTTTCACATTCTTATATAATTTTATATCAATTCTTGACTTCGTAACTGGGTCCAGGTTCATATTTGCCATAGAAATAATAGTAAATAACACTCAGTAGATAGTATAACCACAGTATTTTAATCTGTAGTATAACATCAATAAACAGAGCCACAGATAGGTTATGTCGGTGGTCACAAATAACAACTCCGTAGTTTAAATTGTAACCAGGTATGGTCTGTGGTAATTGGTATACTCTGTTGGTTGTCTCTGACTCTTTGGTTGTAACCGCACCCAGAATAGTAAACAATGTGCATAAACCACAATTCACTTGCAGTGTTGCCAGTGAAAATTGCACAAAATTGGGAATTCACTCAGAGTAATAAAAAAATATTATATTATTACTCTGCGGGAATTCACCATGGTCGCGAAAGTGTAAAACACAGATATCTACATTAGATCATTTATACGTCAATTATATATGCAAACCAGTGTGTTTTGATCCACCTTTATGAAATATTTAAACTAATTTTATTGGATTTGATCTGAGAGATCTATTTTTGTTGATCTCCGCCATTTTGGGAGGTTGAAACATGCCAACATAGCGGCGATATCGAAGAATTAGATCGGAGTTTAGAGAATCCTATATTTTAACTTTGAGTAAAAATAACACTACTCATTCAAATTTCAAATGTAGAATTGGAAAGTTTTAAAAATAACTATTGTTATTGTTTTTGATAGGGTAGAGGTATTTTGTAAATATGATTTGTAATAATTTTGAGTTAGTAATGTATTATTTCCAAATCAATATTTTGTTTTTTGTTTCTTATTTTTTCAATTCTCTTGGATCTTGAAATTTTTGTTTACAACTTCAAGAGTAAAGAATATTCTAAGACGGCTATGTAATTTTTACAAATAGTCATACGGAGAATTAGAATACTGACGATATCTTTAAATCTAGAATATAGGTAAATATATGGTATATAGCTGAAAGAAGGCTGAAAAACTGAAACTTTCAGAACTTTGGTGGGCTATAGCTCTGGAAATAATGAAGAGCACCGATTTTTTTTCGAAACCATAGCCTATACGTCAAGTATACCCATTTATTTTATTCGAAAAGTGCAGCCTATTAAAAATTTTACTAAATATTTTATTGTTTGAAATCATGAATACGTTACCAAAAAAATCTTCTTCGACATCTAACTAGTGAGTCGATGGCTAACTATACAAAATTCAATTTTCAACCAAAGTGTAGTTGAACATCCATATAGTATAATTTATTTTGAAGTCAGGATTTCCAAAAAACAAATAATCAAATCATGTAGCTCTTCCGAAGTTCCGTATGAAACACCTGAAAATTGAAAAAAAAAAATAAAAACTGTATATTTATGGTAGTCTGCGGTTTGAAAGGAATGGGGTGTTAGGAATGTTGTATATGCACAAACATATTTTGAATTTAAATATTAAACCTAACGTGACTCCTGCATACTGCATTATAATATTCTCATCTGCACTATCATTCAGGGATAGAAGCATCCTTCAGAAATTATAGAATATGTGTATGAAGTACAGCTATGAGTTAGCAATTACTTCTACATTCCGAACATCGTTATAGTTAAATTCAATTGAAATATTTGTAGATTACTCTATGCGATTCCCATTAGGCTGAGTTGTCATATAATGTTGATCATTGTATTTATTGTCACTATTGTCCTTTTTTTGAGTTTCATTTGCTGTTTGGAAGCTGTTCACTTACATTGGTCAAATATATATTAAAAAGACGAATGAGTATATTTGCAAATTAGAAGGAAATCAATACCTTCCAAAGGAAATCTTTAGCCGATGGTCGATTTAACGTAAACTGTCTTCGAAAAGTGCAGCAAAAAGTACTAGACATCTCAAAAATGTCACTCGGTGTATGCATTTGTACTTCAACACATTAAATCTATTACTTTCGATTTCTATTGATTCTGTATATCAAAACCACATCAAATTTTATAGCCTTCATGCAACAGTGGCTGGAATTATTATGACTGATGACAGAAGACAAAAGTGAAATTTGGGATTAGAAGATTTTCATCTTCTCATCTAACCATGCTTTTAGGAAATTGCGCTTTATATGTATTGAGTAACCTTTTTTAAACTTGCCGTCCAAAACTAACAATCTAATCATCAATGGAATTGACCAAACCAAACGTTAACGTTGATGAAACGAAAATGGTCAAAAAAGAGTCAGTTACTGATGAAGATATACCATTAAGTTTTGTACAAGAGAGACATTTAGAACCTTTGGTCGGAATGGAATGTGTAACACAAATGTGGCGATTAAAAGAGAGAGTGAGTTGATTGAATCTAATGATTTTGCTTGTTCAATGGTTCTACCATATCTTCTGGTTTTAGATGAAAACTGTCAGTGTTGCTCTAGTTTTATGCTTAAATGTTGGAGTGGATCCACCAGATGTAATCAAAACTCAACCTTGTGCAAAACTTGAATGTTGGACAGGTGAGATTTAACATGAATTCAAGGTGGGTTACGCACAAGTCTAAATCGGAAAGTTTCAAGCATTATGAATTCCATGTTGGCTAACATTAATGTTTTGATGTATTTTCCGAAATAAAAGTACTTTATTCTTGAACAAATTCAATATTTGTTGACCTGCCCTGTATGCTGTTTGACTTGAAACCAACTGTATTCGATAACAAACACATTTTCTTTAGAAGAATATTTCATAATAGACAGGCTCAAAATTTCTTATTTAGTGATCAATAAAAAAAATTAAATCTAACTTCATGTTCAGAAATTCATGAACATAATACAAGGCAACGTAATCTGTTTCATTTGGATGCAGCAAGTTCTATAATGGACAAAAAACGATGTAATCGTGATTCTCTTTTTGCTTCAATAAATTGCCCGATCACATAAAAAACTGTGAAAATATTATATTACTAAAAAAATTATTAAAAAAGAGGAAAGAAACCAGGCTAAATAAAGTATATTCTTTTTGTAAAAAACCAATTTCATTTCATTGTTTAGTGATTTCTCAGTGTAAGTGTCCTAAATTTGTATGATGAGATTTGTGAATAATCTTATACCAGGATAAGCCTATCTGACTATTCATGCTATTATATATGTGTATGTACGTATATGTATATGGACATATATATGTGTGTGCGTGGATGCGTATGTATGTATATATGTGTAACTATGTATGTGTATATGCATAACTTTATTGTTTTTATAGGTTTTAGTTGTTCTGTAATAATGTTGATTGATTAAAAATTCCAATCCAAAAAAAATCAATATGGTACAATTATAACTATTATTGTTTGTTATTATATTGTATATTTTCATACACATTTTTAAAGAATCCAATGTTTAAGAAGTAGAGATGACATAAGTATGAACGTTTCTCAAATTGTTTGATGAGCAAAATGAATAACAGAAATACAAGTTATTAAATGATTAGATTTTTTCTTCCGATAGAACTCCTGTGGTTGCCTTTTTTCACACTTTTTTTTCCATATTTTCCATTACTATTGCTATTTTATCAAATTATGGAATGTTGGACACCCAGAAAAAGAAAATAATTTATTAATTAGGGTTCAGGTGTAATCACTTGAATTTTGAATTCATTTGATATTGAATTGTTTGCACTTTTTTTTCAGATCCTACTGCAATGTCTTCATCCAAAGCTTTAGAAAAAATTGGACAAAATTTGCAAGCTCAGTATGAGAGATGGCAACCCAGAGCAAGATATAAACAATCTTTAGATCCAACTTCAGATGATATTAAGAAATTATGTACTTCCCTCCGCAGAAGTGCAAAAGAGGAAAGAGTTCTTTTCCATTATAATGGCCATGGAGTACCCAAGCCTACCTCCAATGGTGAAATATGGGTATTTAATAGAGTAAGTTTTTCTTTTCTATCCAAAATCATTCGAAAGAAATACTCATTTGGGATTAATTCAATTTTTTTCTAAAAGTAACAAAAATTTGAATAGGAAGGCATGAGTTTGAATTTGAGTATAACATTCGATTCTGGACAACTTCTCTGAATAATGTTTTGATGTATTTTCCGAAATAAAAGTACTTTATTCTTGAACAAATTCAATATTTGTTGACCTGCCCTGTATGCTGTTTGACTTGAAACCATTTTAAGTGCGTCTAATATGGTTATCGAACATGTACTAACTTTTGATGTTAACCAAATTTCGATTGTGCAATCAATTAAACAATTCACATATGTTACAAACTCAATATATTTATTCGTTCATTCATTTAGATGGGAAATAAACCCCTGTTTTACTAATTCAACCTAATCTAACAATCGCATATAAGTCAATTAGGTACTATGCCTGAAAAAATTAGTAACTTTTTTCAATTGAGCAAAGCTAATTCCTATGAGTTCACCCTTAGAAGAAATATCTATAAAAATGGACCACATTTTACTTTAGCTGTCCCAAAAGAAATATTTGTATTATTTTTTTTTTCAGACATATACTCAGTACATTCCGCTTTCTATTTATGATTTGCAAACTTGGATGGGGGCTCCATCTATATATGTATATGACTGTTCCAATGCTGGAACTATTATTGAATCCTTCAAGCAGTTCGCTAATCAACATGAACAGGAGAATGAGGTAAATTTATGTAATAATGAAAATGTTCATCAGAATAATTTTTTATAATCATCTTTAAGACGGGCTTGAACATTTAAAGTTAATTTCTTTAGATTTTTCTACTGCTTGTCATAGCCCACTGACTAATAAGAAAGTGTTTCTTCCTTATTCAGAGGAATCGGGCAAATTTCGGATATGCAGTTGGTTAGTACCTCATCCGCTAGATGGAGTGACATTTTTTATGTTCGCTCCAACTTTAGACGAGGAATGAAATACTCTGAAAGAATTTCGATTTTCAATTATGGAATATCATTGACTTTGGGTCGATAATAGTCACTATCTTGCACTGACTAGTGGCTAAGGAGCCCAAAACCGGGCTGCAATTTTGCCGTTCCAAAATTGAAGGTCGACTCACTTTTATTGCCAGTTGCATATGTTGCAAATTTTTTGTGAAGATTCCTGCACTGACGCCTGCCAGATATAATCCAACGCCGTTCGTTGTATTAGCCAGTGGAGTAGTTGTTTTCTAATAGGTTTAGTCCATTCAACCTACTGTGTAGGTATATCCGAGACGAGCTTGAACATTCAAAGTTTATTTCTTTAGATGTAATCATCTTTAAGACTAATAACTCAGAATAATGCTCAGTTTCTTGAAAATAATTGAAATACAAATATTGTCTGAACTATTTACACCATTGATAAATGAATATACAAGGAAGAATTGAAAAAAAAGCATGTTTTCAAGTGTTTTTATGTCAAAAATAGATCTAATATCGCTATAATTTTAATGTTTCAATTGAAATTCCACTTCAACTGATGTAGATCACAAGAACTTTTTAAAGAGTTTGAGACATTTCAGTGCGATTCTAATGATATGATTCGAAAATGACAATTTTGTGGGATCCTCTGGGATTCTTAGCTGACCTTAGACTCTCTCTGATAGTTTTCGTTGGACTAAATATTAGTTCATGTCGTGTTTCTCTAAAATTGTCGCAATTCAGTCTGTAAAATTTTTAACATAACATAACTTTCTTACAGGGGACATTTCAAATCGAATGTATGTGTTTTTTTGACATAGTTGGATATTTAAAAAAAACGCAGTATTCATTTTTCCCTTATTTGATCATGTTAAATAAATGAATTGTTAAATAAACCTATTCTATGTCTGTTTAAGATCTCCACAGAAGTCACCTTTTTATAATAGCATGTACCTTTCAAGAGTTTGGTTATATTTTCCTGACGAACCTAATTATGTTTTCAGCAATCTGTATCCCAAACAGGAAGAAATCCTCAACCTCTTGTATCATTCAAAAATTGCATACAGCTAGCTGCTTGCAGTGCTAATCAGGGATTACCAATGAATCCAGATTTACCAGCTGATTTGTTCACCTCATGTTTAACAACGCCAATAAAGGTTGCATTGAGGTGGTTTATTCTGCAACCTTCTTCCAAATTAATGCCAAAGGTCGGCTTGGAGCTACTAGATAAGTAAGATTCATTTCCTAAACTTACTCTGTAAGATGATATAATTTATTTCCAATTAATAATGTCATTCAGTCGAATAGTAGGATTGCAAACTAGTTACCAAAGGAGGGTTTCAATAATCATATATTAGGTTGTTTCTGTTTTTCTGAGTCTTCTTTAAACTGTAATATCTTGGTGAATATTTATTCAATTCAATAGAAATGAGCACCATTTGAATCAGTTCACTTTTGCCAAAGTAACACAAATAGAATAATCCCATCAGCATAAAAATTGGGTGCTCTGGATTCGATGAAATCGATGTAGGCCGTTTCTGCCTGCTCCTAATTGGCGAAGGTTCTACTGGTGAGAAAGTTATCGAAGTGCTTAAAAAGATGGTAGTCGATTGGTGTGAGGTCTGGGGAGTGTGGTGAGTGAGGCAAAACTTAGACGCTCAATTTGTTTAAGTTTTGAACGATGATTTGTGAAACTTTGCAGACAGGCTTTGTCGTGGAGCTGAATCGGACCTCTTCTGTTGTAAAAGTCCTCTTCTGTTGAAGAGGTCCGATCATTTCGTCAATTTCCACACAGTAGGACTCTGCTGTGATAGTGTGGCCCTGATGCAAAAAGTTATAGTGAACCACACCAGCCGCTGACTACCATTCAGTAACTATGGTCTTTTTTGGTGGGTTTCCGTCTTTGGGAAGTGCCTAGGTGGCCCATCGATGTTCATCCATTGTCTTGAAGGTCTCCTGTTGTAGTAGAGAATCCACTTTTCATCACAGGTGATGATCCGTTCCAAAGAAAGGACCGTTTTGATTGCATAAAAGCAAAAAAAATCTGTTTAAAAATCTGTTTTTTCGTTAATCAGCTGTCGCCCCCATACGAACGACAACTCTCAGAAGTTGAGAAACTTGTGCGAGCTAAGGACTAACGACGTCTTACCATTTAACGTGTGATTCCTAACACAGTTGCAGAATCATCCCAGATTCAACCAGATGAATTATCTCGAGAAAAATACCTGGTCGAGGCGGGAATCGAACCCACGGCCTTTCGATCGTGAGCTGGGGGCACTACCACCGAGGCCAATTCCACAAAAAAAAATAGAAAATATATTAACCTGTAGTATAGGTGAGTTGAGACTGGCCTGAACTAATTGTTCTTTCAGATAATTCGATTTATAGCCAGTCTTCAAGTATGCCCCCTTACTATATGTGAAGGTATTTCCTTATACGAGGAATTGGGCGATTCAGACACAGTTTATGGCATCCTAAACGTCAGTTACTCAGACTGTTGTGTATTTATCAATACACTCTGATCCTGATGAAGAGGTGGGATAATCCAGTTTTTAAAGTTCAATTTTTATATCCGAAATAAATTAAGAACTATTTGAATTTACAACATTTTTAATATAAACCGTAATACTTTACAAACGACCACCGTAAACAACTAACATAATTTCTAATGAATTTTGAAAAAGTACATTGCTGTACTTGAAAATATATCTCAGCGCACCATGACCTGAAGGGTGAAATTTTTGACTCATGTCGCAGAAACCACATTAGCGTCAACGTATTTGGCGTCAATTCCATAGCTGCGACAGACAACGTGTTATATTGTAATTGGGATTATCAAAGTTATTATTATTATCATCTTATGATAGACTGCAATTATATTGAATATACTAATGATTTCCTAATTTCTATTTTAGAATCCCTGGTCAAATAACTGATAGACGGACATTATTAGGAGAGTTGAATTGGATATTTACGGCAATAACAGATACAATTGCGTGGAATACATTGCCAAGAGGTAAACAGTGAATGATTTAATCTGATAGTCTTGATTTTTTTGTTGACTATAAGAGGTATGTTCTTTAATTGTTCAAAAGTCTCAGATTTGAGAAGTGAATTGTATGAAATTGAAAATTATATGTACAAAATTTTAGATTTAGGTGAAATAATATCCAAACTTCAAATGTGAAAAAAATTAAATAAAATTTCAAAGCTTATTTATGAAAAAACAAATGACTGTGAGTTTAAAATGGTCATCAAAAGTAATATTAGCTTGATAAATTCACCAAAAAAAAAAAACTGAAAAAAGGACATTTTGTTGGTATCCACAAATTAATTTTTCTTAGAATTTTCGGTTTGTTGAGTTGCAATCCTCTTTTCGACATAATTAAAAACGTTCACATCTTATTCATATGATGAGTGAACTGAAGCAAGTGGTTTCTTTTATCTTAATTTCAAACTGGTATTCCAGTGGCCTTCTCTAGGATGTATTGTTCAGAATTTATTTTGAAAGTTTGAGCTTATTTTTGACCAAATAAATTGAAGTATTTGAATGGTACAAAATTTATTATTTTGAATAAAATTATATTTATGGGAACTATTTTCCTTCTTATTGTTTCAATTCTAAAATGAACCAAGAAATTTTATATTTTCATTATGGAATTTAATTATATCTGTTAGAATCTGTTAGATCATATCTAAAGAAATAAACTTTAAATGTTCAAGACAGTCTCGAGCCAGATTTGTTTACTGTCAGTCTTCAAACATTGCCCACTGACTAATGAGAAAGTTTTTCTTCCTCATTCAGAGGAATGGGGCAAATTTTGGATATGCAGTTGGTTAGTGCCTCGTCCACTAGATGCAGTGACATTTTGTTGTTCACTCCAACTTTAGACGAGGAATGAAATACTCTGAAAGAATTTCGATTTTCAATTATGGAATATCATTGACTTCAGGTCGATGATGGCCACTATCTTGCACTCATGAGTGGCTAATAAGCCCGAAACCGTGTGTGCCCTTCTAAAATTGAAGGTTGCATATGCAGGAAATTTTCTGTGAAGATTCCTGCACTGACGCCTGTCGGATATAATCCAACGCTGTTCGTGGTATTAGCCAGTGGAGTAGTTGTTTTCTGATAGGCGTCAGTCCATTCAACCTACTGTGTAGGTATATACGAGACTGACTTGAATGTTTAAAGTTCATTTCTTTAGATTTGTTTACTGCCAGTCTTCAAGCATATCCCACTGATTAATAAGAAAATCTGTTAGATCAATTGATATAGACCTTTTTGTTATGAACATATACAAAGATTACATATACGAATATTTCTGTAAATTTGGTGACTATTTTATGGCCATAATGATATTTGATCAAGAAATTTTGTAATATTCATTTTGATTTCTTGTATAATATTTCCATTTAAGTTGAAGTGATGTCTTCAGCAAACATCTATATACAAAGTATTGTATTTTAGTGTTGGTATAAATAAAGATAAGTTGCTTTCAAGATCTGAAATACCAGGTACAAAGATAATTTCACCGTGACATAGGGGATTTACATATAACGGCGTTAAACTTTTCAATTATATTCCAACGCATGTCAAGAAAATGAGTTTAGTTGCCTTCAAGAAATATATGAGGGAACATATCAGTTCGTTAGCATGAATATTGGTCATTACTTTGCATCTTACTACTTTGCATCCTATTTTTATGCTCTTGAGGTCAATGACACTTCTTTTTCTTTTCATTTTGTGTTTGTTATTGTGTTTTCTAGTTTATTTTCCTAACTGTCGGCTTTTTTGTACTTTCATTTATGGCTGATCTTCAGGTTAGATGTTGAAGTAGCCATTGGCTAAATCTCGCCTTTTATTGGTCAAATAAGTGGTTTACATCATTATATTGTGATTTATATATTTAATTTTTCTTCGATAAAGACGATTATTATTAAAATAAATTGATGGATGATGGAAACTTTCTATGTTATTTACCACTTTTATTTGTTACTAACGTTACCGTCCTTATAGGACGAAACTGCAAGTTTACCTGAACTGAATTTACCACTTTTATTTGTAAGTAACTTTACTGTCCATATAGAACGAAACTGCAGTAACGTTAGTTACAAATAAAGGTGGTAAAAAACATAAAGTTTCATTTCTCTTTTCTTCATTACGATTATAATTATTATCATTAATGAAAAAAAATTAAAGGAACATACTACAGAAGAACCTTTTCAACATTTGCCTTTTTTTGAAGAACAGTTGACTGCATTTCAGGTGTGGCTAGAGCTGGGTAAGTAGTAATTCAGAACTGTTTTTTTCTTCAATTCTATCTGGGTAACTTTCAAAGATAGGAGAAACATAAATACCACAGATTTTTTTAAAATGAAAGAGTAGCCATATCCAATAGAACTGCTCTTTTAACGGGATTTTTTATGGAACATGAAATTTAATTTGTTGAATCTAGCTTCAATCATTCAATTTTTCCAAGAAAAAAGTAAACCATAAATTCTTGAACTTACCATCATGATAACATAAATATTTAGGCCTAATATTTGATAAAGATTTAAATTTTGAAAAGAAGCAGATATCTCATTATAATTTGATCATCTTGCACTGAAAGGCAAAAAAAACCATGATTTATCGTTTAATGAATAAAGCCACAAAGGTAATATTTAATAAACTTCTAAAATGAACCAAGAAATTTTATATTTTCATTATGGAATTTAATTATATCTGTTAGAATCTGTTAGATCATATCTAAAAAAATAAACTTTAAATGTTCAAGACAGTCTCAAGCCAGATTTGTTTACTGTCAGTCTTCAGGCATTGCCCATCTTCAT